CACCGCCAACTTCCCAACTCCGGGCTGTTACTGAGGCTTACTTATACAGAAAGACTCAATAACTAAACTTGGCCCGACCCGGGACTCGAACCCAGGACCTCCGGGTGTGCAGCCGTACATGCTAGCCACTACACCACGGAGGCAGTTATGATATATAGCCTATAGCCTTCCTCGGTTGACGGGCTATCTAATTCAAAAATAATATTTCAAATCGGATTAGTACTTAGTAGTACCTAAGCCAAACAAACAAACACATTTATCAGCTTTAATTTATTAGTATAGATATTATTTAAAAACATTTTTACGAGTTACAAAAATCAAGTCAAAAATTACTTAATGATTATCATTTCTATTACGGGAATGCATTGTTTATTTTTATTAGCATAGATATTATAATATCATATAGATCAAATATTGAAATAAAGAAATACAATTTTGTAAATCCATACTAATATTATAAATGTGAAAGTGTGTTTGTTTGTCCTTCTTTCACGTCGAAACGCAGTGAGTGATTGCGTGATTTTTGTGTGGAGATAGTTGGAGGGATGGAGAGTGACATAGGCATACTTTTTATCGTGGGAAAATCTCTAATTCCCACGGGAAAAGACGTTATAATACAATCCAAAAAATATTTATCAACAGAATTACTTGAACCTTGGTATTAATGTTATACGATAAAATTAAATAAATACGTGTTTTAGCATTTTTCGAAATTCATCTTACAAGGGGGTAAAATAGGCGATAAAAGTTTGTATGGAACAACCTTTTTAGAGTTTTTTTGTAGTTTTAGCGCGAGCGAAGCCGAGGGTTCTGCTAGTATTATATAGTTTGTATTTAAGCAAAATAATATTTCTATGTACATTTTTATATGTGATTATTAAAAAAATATTCGTAAATTTTATAATAAAAATAATAAAACAAGGTTTTAATAAGACAATGCTTTTGGGAATGTTTTAAGGAAGAGATATGAAAGTAAATAGAAAAATATACATAAACATACTTATAGCATATTAAGTACATATTCTTAAATAATTTATGATTCCAAACGAATTAGTGCAAACAAATGCTTAAAGGATGCTACCTATCTAATTTTCCTAATATCTACCGGAGATTTCCTTCAACAAAAGCCAAAAAGAAGCATTTCCTCCAATTTGTTTATTTAAGTTTTTAATTTGAAGCTATCTATCTATATTAATATTATAAAGACGTAAAGTTTGTGACGCCACAGATCATATAATACTATACTAGGTTACGTTGTAGGGGGTAATCTCTGGATTTACTAAACCGATTTAGATGAAATTTGGTAAGAAAATAATTTGAGACCTTGGAAAGGACATAAACTACTTTTTATGCCGGAAATCATCCCTTAAGGATGTGAAAATGGGGATGAAAGTTTGTATGGGGAATCAAACTAGGGACGAACCCGAGCGAAACGAGGGTGAGTCGCTTGTTAATAATATAATCGGACTACTTTCTATTTTAAATGCGAAAATTTATACACATATATATTGTGTATATTTGTTATTATTTAACGCTGAAACGGCTGGACGGATTTAAATGAAAAGTACACAGACAGACCTGGAATAACCCATAGGCTGTTACATCTAAACACGCACCATTTACAAATTATTATTAAAAGTAATTATTAGGTTCTAAATATAATTTAACTAAATATAAATGTAATAAACTTAAGACAACATAAATATTAAGCATCTTCATAATGAGGAACTTGTAACTTGCTAACTATATTCCTGGTTTCCAGTTGGTTCCTGTTGAAACAGTCTCAGTGGAATAGAAGCAAAACAACTTAGTGCCGTAATTTTGAGACTATCATATTTTATCATAACATACTCGTATTTCATATACTACATATTGTTAGCTTATGTTATGTAAGTGTTATACTTAATTTTTATCAATAAATTATCACGTAAAAATAAATTAAAAAACACAACGTTTCACTTTAATTCAAATAAATACAAAGGTACAGATAAAATATAAACAGAACCGAATAATAAAGAATTTGTAGAATCCTGAAAGAATACCAAATTTTTATCACAATTTCTTTGAAGGCGTTTAATTTTAACATCGAGAAAAGTAAAGTTTCTTTTGTGAGCTTGAATTTAATAGCAAAGAACAAATTGTTTGATGACAGTAAATTTGTATTTGCTTTAATGAACTGGTATTCAGATATTGCTATTTCATTTACGTTTATTACATTTTACGATATAGAAATCGAGGTATTTAGTATAATATATACTACATATAATATGAAAACTTTAAAATTAGAATTTATTGTGTAGGTTTCCTGGTTAAGTTTAAACAAGAATTTTTAAAGATGTAGTATACTCGTACAACGATTATTAAATATGTTATGTTTGTTGTTTATATGTTGAAAATAAATCTCATATAAAAAATGAGAGACATAGGGTTTGAAACCGTTTCTCTCTAAAACTAGCCTGGTTCTAATGACTTTATTATTCAGCACTACTTTTTTATCAACCCACTGCTAGGCCGGGCCTCTCTTGAACCGGGGCTTGAATCTTCTTCTTTTGGTTATCCAAGCGAGAATGCTATCAATACGCCAAGGAACTGAAAAAAAATCAATAACTGTGAATCGAACCTGTGAAATCTAGTAAAGTACTAAGATAATTTCAAAATCCTCATGAAAAGATTGAAAGTCAGGTTTTGTGTGTCTTAGCGTACGGCATGACTGAAGTACGAATATGAAACAACGAACTATCTCGACTTGTTCTAATGGTTTGTTTCTTTTTCCCGGTGAGAGTATACATCGCGGACTTAGGTTTACCTTATGGGTTTATTCCACTTACATATTGGTCAAATAAATTTTAATAAATCTATTTATTTTTAATAATATTTTTTATTATTTTACGTGACAGTGACGAAGTAGTCTGTACTCGATTGGCACATCTTGAACCTATTAACAAAACAATTGAATTGATATTTTTTGTTAATTGCTTATTATGTATTTCCATGTAGTAACTGTCTCGGTAGAGGAGTAACAACCATGGGGTAACTTCAACGACCAGAGATGTACCTTTTCTTTTTTTTATGTCGGGAAATGCATTTATGGATACTACCTGTATACACACAGGTGGTTATGTGGGACTCAACGGCTTAATGGGGTGTCACAGGATCGCTTACACACTCGAACACAACACCCAAGGGTTGTTCTAACGGTCCACTTTGCTATCAGAGAAGTACCAGGTATCAGTAACCCGCATGGTACAACGCCTACCGAAGTGGGATACGTCCTAATAAGGGACGCTAACCCCCCCCCCCCCCTACCCTTCCACTACGGCAAGGGAAACACTCCTATGGTCAAAATCGGTCAAAAATATATTATGCATATACTATAAATAGATAATATAAAATAAGTCTACAATCGTCTGGCAATTTTATGTTTTATAAAAAATTACAATACTTTAGCCAAATTAAAGATACCTGTAGAATTAATATTGCGTTCTTAACATGAATTCTGTACGTGAAACAACTATTTAAAAACATAAAATTTACATATCATAAAACTGATATAAAGGAGCGAAATAGAGTAAACATATCGCGTGGGGTCTTCTATATAAAGGGACGCAGTAAATCTCGATGATAGATCGCTGTTTTTCCGGCTTTTCAACAAGCTCTAAATGGCAGACCTTTAGACGAAATATGTCTACCTAACGACGAAGATAAACAAAACTCTTTAGATTGTGGCGTTGTAAGTTTATCCGAGACGAAGTGTTGTAAAAGTTTTTTAGGAAAATAATGGTTTACACAACAGCCAATATTTTTTACGATTTCGAACAATTCCTTGTTCTTTCCATTACAAGAAATGGTATAATGTGGTTATTTTTTACTTTTTAAAGTTACACTTCCTTTGGCACGTTTGGAAAAAAATATGAGAGTAAAGTTTTTACGATGCGCGCGCACACCAACAGCCAAAAAGCGACATGATGAAGTTAGCTGCATTTCTTTTACGAACAGAGAGTTGTGACATACGGGATGAAATCTTTAGCTATTTTTGTTCTGTTACGCCAAAGGAGTATAATTTCTTACGTGCGTACATAAGTACACACACGTATTTTTTTATATAGCAACGTATTGACATTATTTATTGAACCTACTCAACATTATGACGTGATTCCTGTGGCATGAAACGGAGTTGACACTAAATCATTATTCTCAAAGAAAATTTAAAATTAAATTAAGTAAAAGTAAAGGTTACCCATAAATTTTTAAAGGATCATTTCGACTTAAGTTTTATCACTTTGCAATAAAGCTCTGTTCTTGAACATGCACGTGTAAAACTGAAAATTAATTTTATAACATCTGGTCGGGGCGAAGATAACAAAAACTTCCTAGGATATTAAATTTCGTCCATAGTCAAACTTTTTAAGATAACGCCGTAATGTTATTTCATTTGCACCATTGAAAACTTTAACTTTAGGGGGTACGATTACATTTGTTAGAATACTGCTAAAACGCGATAAAAGTTTTTATGATAAATCGTACGATACCCTATTTTATTAAGTTCTTTCATAAAGGATTTACTGACTTATTTATCTTATACTAGCATTGCCCGCGGCTCCGCCCGCGTTCAGATGACCAAAAACTAAATTCTTAGGTGTTACATATTAGTATACTCTTACATTGCAGTTTTTGTATTTTTCCTCAGAAATAAGATATTTTCCCGCGGTAAAAAGTATCCTAGGATCGCGCGCTACATCGCCCGGTTTATATAGCTTGAGCTAGGGATGGACATTTAAAATATACATCGATGTTTTTTTCGATGTAATGCATCGACCGGTCACATCGATGGTAATACGATGTATTGAGAAATACATCGATGTTTCTTAAACATCGATTGTTTTCGCCATGACGTATTTTAGGTTAGGTTAGGCCTTAATTAAAACAAAAATATGTATTAATAAAAGCAGGAAATATATTTATTCAAATTCAAAATCACACAGCCAACACATTTTTTTTTACATATTCCAATATTTTTTGTCAATGCTATGTAAAAATAAAAGTTTACTTAATCTTTTCCCCTTCAATCGGTTCCTTCGTTCAGTCAAAACTAGCCCTGCCTGTGAAAAAAGTCTTTCTGAAGGTACTGACGTGCCAACTATTGTCAAATACTTGAAAGCTATTTTGTACAGCTTCGGGAATTGTATTTTATAATCCCTCCAGATTTCTAACGGATTTTCGTTCAGTCTTCCAACAGGACTTCTGAGATAAACTGAAAGTTCGTCAGACAAAACATCTTCAGATTTGTTAATTTTCCAGTTACGATGCACTAACTTATGGTGATCAGTCCATAATGAAAAGACCTCTTCATTTTTATCAGATTTATCAGAATCTGACTCAGGTTCTTCATTGCTTTGCAAATTCTTCTTCATTATATCCTTAATTTTCGAAACAGCATTCGAACAAGCTATTGCATCATTGAAATGTATTCTTTTGAACCGTGGATCTAGAATACTTGCGATAGCAAGAGCACTCACATGTTCTATAGAACCCATTCTTTTATTTATTTCATTAATAGCAAGTTTTTGCACCTCCTTCGCTACGGGATCTTCTATAACAGCTGAAGTTATTTTAGAGAGCATGCAACGAACTAAGGGAATAATTTTACTACTTGTGCAGTATTTATCACCCGAAATTTCTTTTGTAGCCGCTTACAAGGGTCGCAACACCACGATGACAGACGATACAGTAGATATATCCGATGCACTGAGCATTGCAGGTGCTCTGGGGTGGCGGAAGAGAATATCATTTATGACACTGCGGAGTTCTAGAAATCTTTGTAACATATAGTATGTACTGTTCCAACGAGTATCCACGCTTTGTATTAATTTTACCCCAGCAGGAGACTCCATAGCCGCAGCAGTGGCTTTACGTAACTCGTCACTAGCTACGCAACTCTGTTTAAACCAAGTCACTATTGTTTTTACTTTAGAAACAATGTTTCTCCACTCAGTACACATCATTGTGCCTTCAGCTACCAAATTCAAAGTATGGGCAAAACATGGGATATGTTTCCTTCTACCGAACGCTAATTCGATCGCCTTTACTATATTGGCTGCGTTGTCAGTAACAACAGCCGTTACATTCTCTTGGTCTATTTTCCAGTCTTGGCATACCTTTAAGAGAATTTCAGAAAGATAATCTGATGTATGTCTTTCATCCAATTCGTACACGCCTAAAGTGATTGAGTATAGTTCAATGTCTATTCCGAAATGCGCTGTGATGCCCAAAAAACTTTTCATATTTAAGGTATCCGACCAAATATCCGTTGTTAGGGTTATATCTTCTATAGAGGATAGCATTTTTTTAATTGTCTCTGAAATTACTTCATATTTATCGTCCAGCCAGCGTCTTAGAGTTGTTCTACTCGGGAGTTTATATTGAGGAGCAACTGTTTTCATTAGAGTTCTGAAGCCTTCGTTTTCAACAATTGAGAAAGGCTGATGGTCTTTGCAAATCATGAATAATAAACAGTTGTTCAGTTTCCTTGTCTTCTGTCCAGATTCTGAGTAAGAAGAAATATCTTTAAAGGCGGCCTGTATTGTTTTTTGGCGTTTTAAAGGGGTAACGTTTTCTTCTAAGTCTAAATCAATAGTTTCATTTACGGTTTTCGGTAACGGCTCACAGGATCTTTTATTGCCACTGCCACTTGTACTAGGAATCGGTTCAGATTGAAGTAAACCATCATCAATGTTATCGTTAGGCGTTACCTTGGTATTTAGAGGATTCGATATTTCTTCTGCATTTAATGTATTTTGTTTTGGCTGAATTTCAAGATAAGCAGCCTTATGAACATTACGAACGTGCCCAATTAAGTTCGTAGTATTTCCAGCAGACTTAATTTCCTTTTGACATAGTTTGCATTTCGTTTTCTTATCATCAATTTTGTTAAAGAACTGCCAAACTGAACTTTTTTTCTTAGGTCCCATTATAACTGAAAGTTAAAAAAATAATACTTTATAGCACGGTTTACGGGGTATTTATAATAATACCTATTAACTGCCTAGTAAAATACAAATATGTTTATGCCGCATCATAATCGATAATATAGTATCGATAACTTGGAATCACTACGGTAGGTAGTATTTCAGGGTAAAAATATAACCTTCCAATCAAATCGTATTACATTGCGAAATTAATGCAAACTTCGTAACGTAATCTTCTCTTTTATATGTTAATTAGTTATATGCACGCGCAGTAAAACGTAAAATATTTTCAACATAAGTAATTACTTTCTACTTTTTGACAACAAAACAATGTGATATTACCAGTAAAATTTCAAACCCATTATCACTAAATACATTATTCTGTTTATTAATACACATACCTGTTGATAAATCAAAGTTTCTTTTTAGTTTCAAACAAAGCAAACACTTGTATCGTATTAAAACACAACACACGTTTCCACAGCAGAGACTCGGTCGGCCATATTGTTGTTTTGTTTTGTTGGTTTAATTTAAATACTTTTAATTTTGCTATACCGGCTCCGCGGCAATGGAAACATAGCCAATTCAGCCTATAATAACTGATAGGCGCGTTTGTTATATTGGCAGCACTGATTATAACGTTTCGTTTCACTCATAGTATACTCATTCCTAATTTGCTTGGTCGATGTATCGAATGAAAAACATCGATATATATTCGATGTTGAAGTATTAACAATACATCGGTTTATACGATGCATCGTTACTATACATCGAGTGTTTTAAATAAATCGATGTATATCGTCCGCAAATAGCTTGAGCAGGCGGTCGAGCGATGCGGGGCAGAGGGGATGGACTCGCCGTAGGCATCTCAATGCTCGCCAAGCATTAAAAATGTTTCGCTACTAATTACTTCTAACAACGATATCTCAAAAACTATTCATCTGATTGATTTAGTGTAAAGAGCAATTTTAATCTGCATTAAATGACTAAGCTAACTAAAATATTCATTTGGATAAGGATTAATACCGAACTAAAGAAAATAACTTTGAAAATAACGTAATGTTTTTAATTAAAAATGTTAACATAAAAGTGGTTATTGTAAGTCAACCGTAAGAGATAGAGATATGCTATCGCGGACTTTTTTGTAGCATTTTTATAGATTTTGAATTCTCTAGTACATTACTTAACTGTATCTTTGCTAGTTTACGCGGCGTTCGCGTGGAAAGTTCCCATTTGGCGAGATTTTTTGCGACCTCTTCAACATTTGTCGCCGTATTTCAGCTAATTTACATAAAAGCATAATAAATTATATACCTAAACCTTCCTCAAGAATTACTCTTTCTATTGTTGAAAACCGTATAAAAATCCGTTCAGTAGTTTTCGAGTTTATCGCGTACAGACAGACAGGAGGACAGACAGGAGGACAGACAGGAGGACAGAAAGACGCGGCCGGGGGACTTATTTTTATAATAAGTATAGATAGATAGATAATACTAACGACTCATCCTCGCTTCGCTCGGGTTCTTCCCTAGATACTTTTTTACTGGTTAGTATGGAATAGATAGACTATATATTATATGCTTTACACTTCTTTAATATCCTTGTAGTCCTTAATGTAATAATCATCTAATGCAAAAATATTTTTTCAAATCGTAATAGTAAGAGTTCCTGAGATTAGCGCGTTCAACCAAACAAACCAACAAACAAACTCTGCCTCTTTATAATATTAGTATAGATTAAAATAAAATAACCTTTTCTAATATAGAGAAGCTAAAAAAAAATGAAAATAATAAATGAAAACAAATTCTTCCTTAAAGTTGATTTGAGTTAGAAGATTGTGTTTTTCTGTGTCCCGTGTCGTCTGTATAGAACATAATATCTAAACAACTAAGAATGTATAATATTTAGACTTTAGTGATTTCTATAGAAAAAAAAGTTAAAACCAGAGACAATCTCTTCTTAATATTTCAGTAATGCCAACATTTCAAGACATTCTTGCCAAGTCGAACAATTAACTACATATATGTATTTGTAGTTGGCTAACGTGCGTATAATCTATTCGAATGTTCCGGCTATGAGTTAACCCGGAAATTGTGATTAGAGTTAAGTATTGTACTGCATTGTACTTAAATGGCTTATTATTAGAATGGATTTTATTTATCATTATAATATAAAAGTATATTTAATCATTATAATATTGTTTTAGGGTTCCATACCTCTGTCTGTCTATCACGTTGAAATTAATATCGAATACTCAAGTCTGCAATTCCTTCGAGCTGTGAATAAATAAAACTTCTAAATCAACGAAATCAAAAGCATGACCATTTATGTCGCATATTTTGACAGTTGCAAGGGAAACAAAACCTAGGGTGTCGTTGACCTAGAATCATGAAATTTGGCAAAACGTAATGTCAATGTATGCACAAGTAAAGGGGAAAATTCAAAAATCATAAATCTGTAGTAACATTACAATACAAAAAAATTGCAATTATAAAATTATGTTATTTAATGTTTCATGTGACAGAACCCTTGGTGTGCGAATACAACTTAATATATAAAAGTATAGGTACACGTCCAATATTAGCAAATGAACCTAAAAATATAGTAATACAATAGAAAAGTAAAGTAGAAAATATATTAAACGTACTTTGTACTAGTTATATGTATGTACGTTGTATATTTCGTAAGAGAATATTTTTTACTGAATTTATTCTTTAATATGTTTATTAATCCATATGTACTACTATAATGTTGAATTGAAAGTTTGTGAGGATGGATGGAAGTTTGCTACTCTTTTACGCCAGAACGGCTGCACTGATCTAGATAAAATTTGGCACAAAGATAGATTATAGTCTGGAATAACATATAAGCTACTTTTTATCCAGAAAAATGTACGGTTCCCGTGGGATACATTTGTTTTTGTCTAGGGATGAACCTAAAGCGAAGCAAGGGTGTGTCGCTAGTAATTTATAGTAAGCACGCTCGTATTATTCACCTGTCTTTATTTTTCAGTGTAGAGAAATAAATTTAGTACCGCGGTACCCGCTGTCAAGTTTATACGGGCGCTGCACACATTTGACGAGGGCCTTACGTCTCCGCTATCTCTTAACCCAGGCGTTATGTTGTGAAATAATGATATAAACGTTAACTTTGTTGAAGACAACATCTTTTTAGCAAATATGGCTTACTTAGAAATTTATTTATTATTTTCGAAAATAATAAAACCTTACCACGGCGCTTCACTTCATTAGGGATTAAATTTTGAAAAATCATTTCATCAAAACAATTTTTTTACGAATTTTATCGCAGTTTTTTTGAAGAGTAGGTTTTTGACGTCTCAGAAGTTATTATTATTATAGTTATTACAAATTTTCACATTTCAGCCTACTTAAATAGCACTCAAATTATTCCATCAATACAAATTTTTACTAGGAACAGAAATGACGCCATACTTTATCAGTGAGACATTATGTATAGATATTATACAGATCTTTTGTGCAACGAAAACTCTGCTTTAATAATCTGTAAAATAAAACACACCTAAAACTACTTATTTTCTACTTATACGTAAATCTAATTGGGAACTAAAGATAATATATAATGAAATTCTCAGAACTTAACGTATTTTCTTTACAATAAAGGATGTAACGATAATGATGACGACACGTTTGGCTCAGTGTGTAGTGACCCTCCTTGCTGTGCCAGCGGTCGCGGGTTCGAGTCCCGCTGGGGGCATTCATTGTGTGATGAGCACGAATGTTTGTACTCCAGTCATGGGTGTTTATATTTATAATATGTATGTATTTAAAGTTTATATATGTGTAGTGTATCAACTATCTGATATCCATAACACAAGCCTCGTAGCTTACCATGGAACTAGATGGTGCTGTGTATTAATGTCCCAACATATTTATTTATTTATATTTAATATATTCCACGTTTCTCACAGCGTCATTAGTATCTTGGCCTCAGAAAGCAAAACATTCTATACAAAAAGGCTCTCCGTTTTAATAGAGTATCGTTACTGCCAGGTGAGAGGGTAAGGACTCTCCAAGCACATATTGCGTGTACCAGATCTGATTCTATTCAAAACAACGGCTACAGTGAATGTCGTTTGACGATGTTCGCAGTTCGTATTGTACTGTAGAGGTTGAAACAATTTTCCCACATGTAAGTTAATTAATAGCATGTAGTATATATATATATGTATATATATATATATATATATATATATATATATATATATATATATATATATATAACTAGCTTCATTTATGTATAACTTACCATCTTCGCTCGCGTCTGACTTTGTTATTTCAGGTCTTCTTGTATCCGAAATGTCATCTAATTTAGAGGTCGTTCGAAATCATTTTAGGTACACTAATTTTCAAGTTAAAAAAAAGTTTAGAAATTGAAATATTGAATTCAAAATTTTAGATCGAAATCTTTTTCAATCTAGAAAATGATAAAATAACGATAATTTATAAAATTCTGAAGCTTCTTAGATTAAGAAATCGCATTTTCACCTTAACTAAGCTGTGAGAATTATTTAACTGCAATAAAAATATGAATGTATATATGTAATATTTAACTGCAAGATTTTTACAAGCACATCATACATTCCTTGCACGAGATTCGAACCCACGTCATATGTTCTTGCAAATACTGCATGATATCCATCTTTATAAATAAGTCTCATATTTAATATATTATACTTTTCTCGTTTATAATTTCGTAAGAGTGCTTGAAGTTGGAAATATAATATCATTTCATTTCCACATTTCCCTTGGCATTAACGCACGAGTCGCTCTGAAAAGCGGAGTAAAGAAATACGCACTGTACCACTGAACTTTTGACCTAGAGACCCTTTAATATATCTTTAAAGCTAGTGTAATAGTAAGTATATATAATATTATATAACTATAGTATATAATATTATATATAATATAATATTATATATATAACTATAGTAATAGTAAGTATTATATTAATAAAATATTACA